ATCGCTTTTGGTTACAAAAGTGGTTTTTCGTGGATTCTGAGCAAATTTTCCAGAAGTCTCAAAAAACCGGGTCTTTTTATAGTTTTTTTTAATAGCAATAGTTTTTTCCTGGTTATTTATGCAATTAAAATTTTTCTGAACACACAGATTTGTAGAGCAAACTTTTCTGATCAAAGTAAGACTTCGTACAACTCTGTACGACCTTGCATCAAGAAGTTACAGGCATTTTCCTACAAGCCCTAAAATTGAGTGTTTTATACAGCGTTTAATATAGCGTTTTCTCTGTATAAGACTTACACCTGAAGTATTTCCCAAGATTTTTAATCGCGGTTTGTCGTAGAGAGTTTATTCTTTTTTTGTTTAAAAGAGAAAAAGAAACTACATGGACTTACCGGCGCCGATTTTTTAATTAGGTCTTAGTTTTTTGTGAAACTGAGGATTTTTAGGAAACTCGGAAGGATTTTTCGGGTTTTGGAGATTGTTGGTTGCCTGGAAAACCAACAATGGCTTAATTGAAAAATCAGCGCCGGTCAGTCCATGTATTTAGGTGTTTAGTTTAAAATAAAACAAATTCGAACTCTCCAGCTTGAAGTATATTAAAAAATCTTGGGAAGAACTTCGGGGCCCTTTTTGGACCTTGATCTCTGGAAAACTCCTAAACCGTAAGACTTGGAACACAAAAAAAAATTTTAATTCCCGTAACTCACTAAACCTACCATTTATGGAAAGTTTGGTCAAGATCGGATGTACGGTGTCGGAGATAATTTCTGAGGGGAGGGTCCCTTAAAGTGATCTCGTTTTCTTTCGGTAACAAAACAGAATAAACCGTCGAATCTAGCACTGTTTATATATTCCCAATTACTTCTGTAACTGCTTGATGATTTTGTTGTGTATCATGTACTTCAAAGATACTATGTTCGACTCTTGGAACTATCAAGTAATGTAATAGCCACTCATCTCATTGTGACGTATGATGCAGTGCCACCAGTTAGCCTTTATGCACGGCTTTTTGAAAACAAGTACGCGGTTAGTGAAAAAGTATATGGGGACTCAAGCATTTGGGCGAAAGAACTATGTGTCAGCCTAACTCCCTGGTAGCCATCCTTTAGACGTGCGCATATATCTAACTGCCTACACTTCCACTAGAAAATGAGACTTGTTCTGTTTATTCCAGCAGCTTAGTGAAATAAGTAGAACAGGTGGAAGTTATTGAGTATAAAGGGCGCAAAACAGTCTCTGTAAGAAAATGACCCAATATGATTTTGAGCACAAATCGTCCAGAGATATCAGAAATGCTTCTTCATACTTCCCTTCAGAAACTGTTTAAACTTCAAAACTTCTTCTAAAAAATTACAGAGATAAATCTCTTACAATTATTCGTTACTGTCTCAATCCATCCCGTGCCTCAAACCTCTTAACAAGAACTTATACGAATACGAGAAGAGAGGGACTTTTCTGCGCTTTAAAATGAGCTTTTTAAAAATACATCAATGTAAAGCCATTCTTGAAATGTCGAACTTAGGTAATGGTTCTCGTATTGTAAGGATGTGAATGTCTGAGTCAGAAATGCTTTATCCTTTACAAATAACTTTTTTCTACCAGAAACATATCGGAGTGGCACTAGTATCATTTTCTGCAACTAAGTTTTTGGAAACACTTCTAAAGAGTTTTTCATGCCTTTGGTTCCCGAATGAAATTCTGGAAAAGGTTTTGCTCATTTTTTAAAGTTACGAAAAGTTTGATATTTATAGAGCAAGTCGACTTTTTACTGCATCATAGTATCTGCAGCTCATTTTCAAAAAATATCGTGGCGTCTTCATAAAAATACATTTTTAACATTCTGAATAAGTGTCAGTCATATGTAAAATGTGTGCTCATTCATAATATGTCTAGACGAGCCTGCAGTTAACGTGAAAGTAGCTGGAAGATCGTAAATCGTGTTAGATTTTGGGCTTTCTAGCACGTTTTTTCGTATTTTTCTAAAAGAACGATTTTCTTTATGAAGATCAAACTTCTCTCAAATGCTTTAAAGACTTGCAGGGACTTTAAAGAAGACAATCGTGATCAGTGTAAGAAAGAGCATCTAGTTCATGCAACTTTAAAAATATCCGAGAAATTTCTTCAAGAATGGCTTTATATTGATATATTTTTAAAAAACTCATTTTGAAGCGCAGAAAATTCTCTCGCTTCTCGTATTCGTATAAGTTCTTGTTAAGAGTCTGAAAATCATGGGAGAAGTTTGAGGTACGGGACAGCGGCATAACCAAGATTTTTAGACCAATGGGCAAACTTCTATTGTGTCGAAAAAAAGCGATGAGCAAAATGGGCAAGGTTTTTATTAATGGGCCAAAAATCTTTTGGCCCAACAAAGCACGGGCGGGCAGGGACAGATATTTTTATGTAGCTAGAGTCCTGCGTCGTAAAAGTATACACATGGACGAGCAAGGAAAAAAACATGCATAAGTTAAAAGACAAGAAGCGATTCTTTTCGTCTTTCTTTCTTAATTCTTCATAGAAAGAACAAGCAAAAAGTGCATGTGGGATTCAGGCGGAAGAAAAAAATTACATTTACTATCTAATTCAAAAATAAACAAACAATTTCGAAAAAGTAAAATTTCAATGGACAAACACTTACTAATAAAAATTACAATAGGCAAATCTCGAAATGAAATGGACAATTGCCCCACCCCCCCCCTCTTGGTTACGCTGCTGGTACGGAATGGATGTAGTTGATTGAGACAGTGATGAATAATTGTAAGAGATTTATCTCGGTAGTTTTTCAGAAGAAGTTTTAAAGTTAAACAGTTTCTGAAGGGAAGTGCGAAACAAATCTCGATTGTAGATAGACGGCTGTCTCATTAACTTTGATAAAGATATTTTTCTAATTACAAATCTAGACCGAATATCAAAACTGCGGCTCTATTAGCCTCTAGCCACATGTGTCAGCTTCAATTTAAGACCTTTCCGATTTCTCTGCGATGTTTCGTTACCAAGAAATTTTGGAGCTACGAAATGGTGTTAAGGTGAAAGTCGCTTTCGAGATATGATGGCGCCGGTATCTGATGCACATTTTAGGGCTTCCAACAAAACTCTCGTGACTCTTGATTAGAACATCATTCAGAGCTGGGAGATATCTCATTTTGATCAGAAATGTTTGCTCTATCTTCTGGTGTTACTAAAAGTAGTTTTCGATTTGCTTTTTAATCGAAAAGTAAAACTTTTTCGAAAAGTCAGCTTTTCAAGATTTTCAGAAAACTCAACCTTTCGGCCTTAATAGCAAAGAGTTCTAGTATTGCAATGTTTGTTGAAAATGTGAGTTGTTTATCAATTAAATTTAGATATATTATTATTTCCACTGAGAAGAATTCTCAAAGCTGATATAGACTATCACAAAAATGTTCTAAGTATTTAATCGATTATACAAAAAAATGGTTACTCTCTGTCAAAAATCTTCAAGAAGTTCCATCTACTTTTGAATAAAAAACGTCCGGAAACGGTTTTTTTGTATCTTTTGTTTATTAGTAAAACAATGAGCGGGCTGTGTTAATGGAATCTTTTGTTACTTTTTTTGTTTCATCGCACAGAAATGGCAATAACATGATTTTAATAGTGTCATGGAATTAAAAATCCCATTAAAAATGTTTTTTTCTGAGAAAAATTGCTTGAAACCATTTGTGTTTTACATGGACTACATATTCTTTTCTGTGGACGAATCATGAGTGCAGCAATAAATCAATTTGGTCTTCATACAGTCGAATACTCTATTAGAAAAAAATTATCCCAAGATCCTTTATATTCTCTTACACATCCGGAACAACCAGGTATAGATAAATTTGAGATTAATACATAATCGAGTTAAATGAAAAAGATTTTCTCTTGCAAAAAGTGAGATACGTAATTTATGAAAACAGTTTACTTTTCGATAAAATATAACTCATCTATTAGAGTTCGGTAAATACAAGTAAAATTCTCTGCATCTCATTTGGATCGTTATTGATCGTAAGTACTATTTTTCTTTTCAGCTTCTTATGACTATGCTCATGGTACACATTTGGATACATGTTTAATCAAAGAGCAAAATCCTCTGTCGAAAGAAACACCCAGTTTTGAATATTATGATCAATTATCCAAAAATATCTGGACAAAACCTTATCCTGAATCACCAACAATTTATAAAAAACGTCCAGGTGAATGGTTTCAAAATGATAAACTGAAGCATACACTTGAAGCCAATACACCATATTATCCTTATCATGGATATGTTGATCCAACTCTACAAAATAAATGGGAAGATGATCCAAGTAAACCACCAAAAATTACAAAACAAAATCGAGAACAATTTCCTGTTGTATTAAGTACAATGACAAGGTAAAAATGAAAAATCGACGTTTATCATTAGCAAAAAGGAGATCTTACTGTAATATGTATGTCTCTTTTTTAAAAAGAATACCATTTAACGTACCTTTTCACTTTATTAATCTAATTATCAAAAAATACTATTATGTTCTACAAAAATTTCTTCTTCTCTCAAAACGTGGAAAAGTCTGGTATGTCGGTCAATAAATAATCAATTTTATTTTATTTTGTTTTTAGATATGTAGAAGAAATGAATGCAATGGAATTTGGCTTTAAATTGTATTAATATTTAATATATATATATACAATATATTTCTACAAAACAGACATCATTCCGAACAGCCCAAATATGTATTATTCTTTTTTTTTTTCTAAAAAAAAGCACAGATAGACAAAAAGTAACATGGCAAATTTATTTAAAAAAAAGCAAGAAAACACATAAAATTTAAAAGTTCACTTGTTCTCGAAAATGATGTTGAAGCATATTATTATTAACACCAAGTTTCATATAATGTTTAGACTTCCACTGTTGCATATATTTTAAATCACGTATTTTACGTTGAAATACTTCACCTAGATAAAAACAAAATGTAATAAGTTCATTCTATTAAGCCTATTTTTCTAAGTTACTCAAAATTTAATCGAGAAAACAGAGGCCGAAACGGGGTACAGGTGAGCAAGAAAATTATTTCTTTTCTTTTTGGATCAAACGTGAGAAAAAAAAGATTTTAATAAGACGTTTAAGTTTATCTGCACTCTATTGATATTTCTATATCATATATTGTCTTTTTTACACACAAGTTTATGTGAACTACGATAGTTTCTCTATTATCTTTCATTTTTTTCCTTTCGACACACTGAACAATTGTGTCAAAAGTTAGATAACATAAATAGAAGGATACTTTCGGATTAAAATCAAGTTTTTTGTCACGCTGAAAAGAAACTTTCTGTTTTCTTTTTATCTCTCTCTTTCTCACTCATTCAAGGAGAGAAACAAAGAAAAAGGACTATAGAAAACAAATAAATAAGTAACAAGTGATTCTGAATTTTCATTTTCAGATCACAACTGATGTTATCCGTTTCGTTCTCTGCAAAGTAATTACTATTCTTAAAAATTTCACGCAATTTTCTTCTGTTATTAATTTCTTACCAGTCGTGCCATGGCCATGCCATCCTAGAGCTCGATATTTCGCTTTGACTCTATCCATTAAATCAATAGATTTTTCATTATTTCTAGTTCCAAAACTTTGACGATAATATCTCATCAATGTTCGATGACCAACTTTTTTACCTATAAATTCAAAAATAAAATTAATTACAAGAGAGCGGATAAAATTTTACTGAAGTACCTGATGGTAACGCAAGTTCATAGCCAGTTGTATCAATTGAATTCAAATCCACATCTTGTTCATCTACTTTATCTTGATGTTGATCATGATCCGGATAGCTTGTACTAGAAAAATATTAAATTACGTTAAACGAGAAGGAAGAGTAAAGTCTTTTTTCTTACGTATAATCATAATAATCGACATATTCGAAACTATCATCTGGATTTTCATCGAAACGAATTTTACAATGACCTTTATCCATCATATGTCGTTGTACAGCTAGAAGATTTCTATATTGTTTTTTATTACACCACAAACAAACATGATAGATGCCAACTTTTTCATCCAAATGTTTTATGAGACTTTGAACATCTTTTAAATAGTCAACGTCTGGTAAAAAAAATGTATGTTCATTTGCCATATGGATAAGATTTTCATCGAGACTGGACGATTGATATGAACAAAATAAACATTCTTCTACGTGAAGGGCATTTCCCAATTTTTCTATTGAGTCTATAGTTGGAGAAAAGGATATTTGAATGAGTAAGAATTTTCTTTTAAAAGACAAATACCTGTAACACTATTGTCTCCATCATCCATATCTTCCCAATCTTCATCATTTTCACTTATTTCCACGGTATCTACTGGCTCTTGCACAATTTTTAATTGTTGTGGTTTGAACGGTTCAGTCTATAAAATAAAAATAAATAAAAAGATAGATAAAATTGATCAGATGTATCCGAAATATAATCTTACATTTTCTAAAGCATGTTTGGCGTATTCAATATGTTTCCGAGACTTTAAATGGTTCAATAGACCATTTTCAGATGAAAACTGTTTTCCACATTGTGTACATAATAATGACGATCTTTCTGGTGTACTCTACAATTAATTATAAATGATTCACTAATATCAAAGAATCTTTAACACCACATACCTGATCAGTCTTGTCTAATTTTTGAATGACAGCAACTTTTTCTTGAAAATCTTCGGCAGTAATTGGACCTAGATCAGCTACTTTACGTTTTAGATTATAGCGATGCCAATCAGTTTTGTAATGAGCACGTTGAATATCGCCACCAGCAAAAGCGACATGACACGTAATACATGTGTAAGCAGATGACATGATATTTATTCTAAAATGAAGTAAATCAAATCGATTTGTATTCCCATTCTAATTCGTATAAAATAGAAACTGAAAAATTTTCGCTTAATAATTCTCTTAAAAGAGTATAAAATGTTTCTGATCAGATAGAAAATTATTTCAGAAAGAGATATATATATCACTGTCTTCAAAGTTCAGAAAATTTAGAGTGAAAAGGGATAAAAACTAAAACAAAGCTCCAGACTGAAATCTGTGAACTCTGAATAAAACATTCTTGCTGTCACTATTTTATCAGCGTAGTAGCTTTGGACGAGCGAAATGTGAAGAAAGTAAAAGTAAATGTAAGAATTCCAAGTGTTGTAATGATCGTGTAGTCGAAGGAACAACATTTATCCACCTCACACAGATTACAGTCATGATACTTCGAGAGACTGAAATTGCGAAATAAAATAAAAATAAATTGCAAATGTTTCCTCGCGATCATACACGAATTTCATTGCTTCATTTCTTTTCTTGTATATGAGCAAACCTATCCGCAATTGGGAGATATTGATTGGCCAGATGTTCCTCAATCACATCTTATGATATATCCTCTCCTAACGTTTAATATCACTGGCTAAAAATAGGTTCGTTCATGCAGAATAGAGAAAAGAAGAAATTGACAAAGGTCGCTAGTTTATAGCATTCGTTTTCCGCATTTGAGTGACATAGTGTTTCTCTTGTTTTAGAACTTAGCTATTTGTCATATATACTCAACATATCTTGATTTTACAATTATTTCAGGATTACTGATTTATGAAAAACTAAAGTCTGTCTACAAGCGTGAGTCTTTTGAGTTCTTTGCTCATATGCTTATAAAATTACCTAAAACAGCTGAATTTTTATATAAATTACAACTATAAGTTGACCCGATATAATTCCTGTTGAGTCCAGTCTTGACAGTGGAATCTCAAAAATAATTGAGAAAAAGGAACTACGTAGACAGGAATTAAACCTGGGATCGAGTAACCTCAGGTTCAATCCCTGTAAAATTTAATTTTTCGATGAATCAAAAATATTGAAACTTGAATTCCAATATTAATCAACAGCTTGCATTACAGAGCTATATAAGAAAAGCCTTTTTTACTATTTTACTAAACTATTTAGTCCAACATCATCAAAACGAACAAGTGCCGGACAGGAAAGAAAATTCGCTCTCTTCATAGCGTTTCTTGGGCTAGGCAGAATTTCAGCGTGTTTTACCCGATTTTCTCTGTGGGAACACGAAGCAATTCATCTCAAGCTCAGTTTAAGTTTAAGTTTAAAATAAGTACATATGGCAATCAGATTGTAGAGTGAATGTTCTTAATTCACGAAAATTTAACGTCGGTATTTCACCTTTATTCTTGATAAATTTCTTCATAAACTATCAGGTGTTTTTATATTTCCCAGTAAAGCACGATGAATTTAATGGCAAAAAAAGCTAATTAACTATCTCTAATGAACAAGTCATCCCGGTATATTGAATGGAAATATGCCCGTTGGAATTAGTGGTGTTCACTAATAGAGGTTTTACAGTAGACAGAAGTTAGTTAACTATAAAACGTATAATAGCAGTTCTTAGATACAACCCTAAGCTATCACAGTTCCTTAATGATCGATTTCAGCGTCTTTTTTCTAGAAAGTAATTTCCTCAGAAAGACAAAACATTCTAAAGTTATAAATTTTATTCCACTGCAAATTTTCAGATCGAAGAAAATGGTCCGAGATCTTTTTTTACTTGAAAATAACTGAAAAAAATGAGTTTTTGCTAAAATTCGTTAAAGCAACAAAAATATCATGAAGGAGATCACTCGAAACCTCGGAATTTTGTGAGCATAGAGAGTTTCATGTGCTCTATCGAATGAACTTTGAACGAAACTCTAATATTTTATCGTTAAGTTAAAAAATAGATTTTAATTTTTGTCAACATTTCCTTAAAACATGTATATCTCCCCGAGCATA